CAGAATTGCATGCGTCCGGTGAGTGATAGCTGCACCATGACAACGCACCTGACCATTTAGCGTAGCTTGTACAGCAGTTTTTGGCGGAGAACATTTCCCAAATCCAACAACCATCCTATTCCTCAGATCTTGCCCCTTGCATCTTTTTCCTCTCACCAAAAATCAAATCCCATTTGTAAAGAATAAGATTTCAAAACATCGAATCCAAAAGAATGCGACGCTATTTCAAAAATGAGTTCCAGGAATGTTTCCATCAATAGAAACGACGCTGGATAATGTGTTTGGGTTCAGAATGGGACTACTTTGAAGGAGATTAAACGCCGAATTGATATATGTTGTAGTTTTTTTTTTTTTATAGAACTAGTCCCGATACTTTTTGATCCAACCTCGTAAAGCCCTTCAACAAATCGTTATATATTAATTTTAGATTAGTTTGGCATGAGGCATGCAGGTATGGAGCACTCAGTGAGGATCAAGCTCAGTACTAATGATCAACCAGATTAGCTCGTTAACCATTGCTTCACAACACGTCAACCAACAAAACAACCCTGCGTCAAAAATGTTTCTAGATTAAAAGGTAAGTTTTGTAGAGTTACTGAATATAAAATGTTATTTATAAAGAAACGATAATACAGTATAAATTATTGTTTCTTGGTAACTATGGGTTTGTAAAAATTTGGTCAAACAAGGGATTGGTGAAGTCAGAATGTCAGGCGAGGCTGTGAGAAATTCTTGTCACAGAGTCAGTGAAAGATGTGACAAGAATTAACTTATGGATTGGCGCGTGGGAACGAATACATAACTTAATGGTGTTTATAGCCGATCTGCGGCATCTAATTTACAAACAGTACTCATTATTTAGCGGGAACTAACAGATAACAAATAAAACAACGATGATTAGTCAGAGAGTTGACAGCTCGAGCAAGAATTGACATGCTGCTTGATACGTGACAGACTCAGATATGCATTTGAATCAAAAGTAGTAATTGAATCCATTACTTGTGACTGGTCACGGTAGTCATTTTATAATTCATTATCTTTTTTTTGTTTTTATTTTTGAAAGTTTACTGATAAAAATATTCAGAAGAGGTTTTGTGTCTACCAAGAATAACATTTTATTTTTTTACTGATAACTGTGGAAATAAAACTATTAGGTATGATCACACTTTTGAAAACAAGGAACTAAATAGACAAATGAAACCATTTCCGAGGTTTTGGAATTCAGTATCTGTTTATACTTTATCGAGAAAAAAGAAAAATGGTGACCACCAGAGGCATGCAAAATAGATTCACCCTGAAAGTTTTCTATGTCACTTTGAAATATAACCAGCTTTTGTCATGAAAATGTACAATTTCTTTACTCTATGGCAGTAGTTCTGTTATGGTGGAACACACCTATTCTATAGTTAATAGACTCTCCCACCTATAATAAGTAGGAGTAGTAAGAGTAACGAGGGAGGCAGTCGCTTAGTAGGTCGGTGAGTCAGTCGATGCCGGACGACCGTTAGTCGGATACTAAAGTATCAGCGACCACAACTAGATTTCTCTGCGTCATTACCTATTATATCAAGTTCGTAACGTTTTGTACGTCGAACCTATTTTAGGACCGACTTAATACAAATACAAGCCTCCACTGTGAAACGACTCCATAACAAGTTCTCAACCTTTTTCTATTCATGGCTCCTGTTTGATTGATGATTTTTTATGGCCTCCTCCTAGCCGTTTAATTTAACAAAAGCTCATTTTACAATTTTCGGAAAAAAATAAACAGTAATATTTATTCATATAAACTTCAAAATTGCTTGTTTTGAAAACAAAACCAAGTAAATGAAATGAATTTTTATTTCAGCAAAAAAAATTTGGCACATACAAATTTAAAAAGTTCTGCAAAAATAAAAAAAAATCAAATTTATACAAAATCAAAAAGTTTTGCACATAACTTTTACATAAATGCACACTAGTAACATAAAGACACTTGAAAATTATTTTATTACATAATTTAAGTTTATTAGAACTAAAATATAGAGGAGAACATGATTTTAGCAGTGTGGCCACTTTTATTGAATTTGTTCCCCGCCAAATCCATTTTTTCTGTAGCTCCCATACATTACCAGGGACCCCTTCTGGCCATTTGGTCCCCCGGTTAAGAATTACTGCTCTAGGGTTTGGGGACTGCCGCTTCTAGAAATTCCACCTAGTTCGCCCATGACAACGACACTGCATGTTGTTCCGTTTCAAGTTCGGTAGGACAGGATCGAAACATAAATGTTTTGGAGATAGTTCAAGTGGAAGCAGTGCCTATCATGAATGGTAATCAAAGTTCAAGAAAGGTTAGTTTAACTTGGAGGGCAAATCAAACAGCGCTAGATCACAGATATTTGGAAGTGATGACCTTCAGTCATTTTTTTTTTTTTTGAGGCCGAAAGGCTCAATCTAGAGTTTAATGAAAAAAAAAAAATGATGTTGATCACTTAACAGTTGTAAGACGTTTGCACAATATAGGAAAGATTAAAAAAGCGGAAAGGTGGGATCACATGAATTTTCAGAGCGAAACATTGGACAACGTCACGCCACCTGCATTTAATTTTTTTTTTTATGGATGATTTTCCCTGTAAATGAAAAGTGGATTCCGTATGATAATCGGAGGCGTCAAAAATCACGATCCAGGACACCCTGCAGCATGGCCGGTGCGTAGTATCCCCGACTAACTGGGGAGAAGGGGGAGCATAATTTGATTCACTATCTTATTAACATTTGCTTTTTTTTTACCTACATTTATATGCGTTACAAATTAAAATAAATACAACTGTCTATCAAAGGATTAAATTGTTTTTGTAGTTTTTGACATCATTCTGGGGTCTTTTTTTTATTTTTATTTTTTTTATTTTTATTTTTTTCACCTAAATCCGTGAATTTGTTTTGCTCATGTTAAATTTCGAAAAAAAAACCCCCCAAAAAACACTATATAAAATTCACTATTTTTTATTCATAATCTTGAATGTGTTAGAATTATTGAACTTTTTAACAAAAAGAATCTTAAGTTGATGTTAAAAAGTGCCGCAAAACATTGCCGATTTATTTAAAAATTACTGATTTTATTTTAAAATGGAATGTCAATTTATTTTCAATTTTTCAAGTTGAATTGTTCACCTACATTGTATATGATTCATTATGGTACATAATTAGGTTGCAATAAAAATTTGTATTTTATGTGAATACTACTTTATTAAAATTGAGATGTAACAGGGTGGGGCTCCCGTATCATAGATTAAGGATGGGTTTATCAGAGATTTGAGGGGGACACGAAACACTTGTGCCGGCTCTACCCTGAAACATCAACAGGAAAAACTAATAAGTAATTTGTTTGTATCTGGTAGACTGTAATAATCAGACTTTATTAGGTGTTATTGAAGCCTGAAGAAACTGTTGATTCAGAGAATTGCAGTTGTCACCTTTGAAACTTGAGCGCCGAAACAGAAAGAAAGAGAATAAAAAGGAAGACATTTACAGGGCATAGAAGCTGAAAAGACATCCTACTGAACGACAATCTAGTCTAAACGTTGTTTTGACAACCCTTCGAAATATAATCTAGTTGGGACGGGAAATTCATAAACTTGCGTCAAGCGTTTATCAGATTTCTGTTTCGGGGGGAGGGGAAAAGAAAAATCTCTTAAATTTACAAAATTTCTTTGACAAATTTATTTTACCGAAGTCAGAAACATTTTAACAAGATAGAACGTTGAGGCTTAACAAAACGGAAAATATATAATCGTTTCACCTGCGAGGCAATAAAAGCACTAGGACGCAAGCGGTCACTGAGTGTTAGAAAATATTACTATTAAGAGAGAGAACAATAAACGAACATGCAACGATTGACATTGCATTTAAATTTTTGAAGACAATATATATATATATATATATATATATATATATATATATATATATATATATATATATGTGTGTGTGTGTGTATATATATATTTTAATCATATTTCACCATATATATATTATAATTAAGCGCCATGTCACGTTGAAAAATCCGACCACTGAACTAGGATCGTATCAAGCTTGGGAATACCAGGGTCACTTGGGTGTACGGTGTTGGTTTATTGGATGAAAATATGAAAAAGTACATTATTAAGCAAATAAGAGGGCAACAATAAAACGAACAGGATTGACAAAAGATGTTTATAGGAGCCAACACGATAGATGAAAAACTATCCATTGCAAAAAATTTAAATTTTTGAAGCACAGACGATAGTTTATTATATATATATATATATATATACAAATATTTATATAACAAATATATATATATCAGGAGGTTTTGATGTGTGGGTGATGTTCCCAGGTGTGTGTGTAGCACCTGTAGGGTTTGCTATGGGCAAATGTTGCCTCAAACTTTGAAAATGTAAGAATAGTTTTAATACCAACAACATGCATTAACAGCGAAGGAAAAATTATTACCAGAAATAGATGTTTGAAAAAAAAATATTATCAGAAATAGATTTTGGAAAAAACATTACCAACAATGAAAATTTTGTCGGCATCGGTTGATATAGTAAAATAAATCAAATCAAACCGACAAACGTTGATTTTTTTTAACAACTTTCGAATAAGGTTTTGAGTTTTGTGCTCGAAATTGTGGATAAACTGTAAGAATTTCATATTTTGTTATTGTTTTGTTCAAATACTTTCGACCATCGCAGTCACTATTAAGAACCAATGTGGTGTCTGTATGGTAGTTAGAATTCCGTTGTCTGCATCTTGGTATTCTTTGGGAAGTTGGAAGTTTGAAATATGACATGATATTGTGTTTAACCGAGGTCACACAAAAGAATATTATTTATTTTATTGTATTTTATTTATTTATTTTATATTTTTAATAAATAAAAAATAATTAAAATAAAATATATGCCTCATATATTATTTTTATTATTATTACTATTATTAATGGGACGTTTTGAACTTATCTAATAATATAAGTTGTAATGACAGTTATGCGAAAAATATTGGATATTTTCCTTTTCAATTTCGTTCGTTCGTTTTCTTCTTCTTCTTCTTCTTCTTCTTCTTCTTCTTCTTCTTCTTCTTCTCTGTACCGTGGCATTAGCGATAATAGCTCTCCACAATTTCCTGTCATATGTAGTTCTTAATAAAATCTATTAGACGTAAATTACAAATTAACAAATATACAAAGCGACAAATTTCTGGGAATACAGTAAGCAATTGGCCTGTTTGAGTGACACACTGAAATAGAAAAGACACTTTTCCGGGAATAAAAATTGGTTTTGTTGCATGAGAGCGTCCGTGTAAATGCAATGGAGCAAACGAACATGGAGTTGGTATGGGCAGTTCTTCCAAATGTAACGTAGTTTTTTTTCCAACGGTCACTTTCAGAATACCAGATGCTTCACTCTGTACAGCACTCCCCGTTTAGTGAATATTGGCTCTAACTATTTAAAGACATACAAAATTCATCGAAGAATTTGTTGGATCAAAGCAAAGCTATTTTTTTGCCGCCACGATGATGAATGTGACACCTAGACGCGGTGACTAGGTTTGCGAGTGACAAGGACGGTCTGAGTAAAGTCTATCAAATTCACTCATTTGGGGAAGTTTGGGCTAGAGTCTCCAAACAAAGATCACATCAAAACCAATACGCATCGAGCCAGCGCGGTAGGGTTATGACCCATTCCTCTCCATGGTACGACACTACAATCTAACACAGGCCGTTTTTGTTGGGGCATCTGATTTTCAACTCATCACCTTTTAAAACTGCCAAAACTTAAACAAAAACATCGTAAAAGTGGCGACTATCAACCTCGATGGTCAAGAGTAGTCCATGAACAGCAAAGATGGCGAGATCTGAGGAAGTCCTTCGCTCAACAAGGAACCTTGACAGGCTGAAAAGAAGAAAGATATAATTTTGCTGAAAAGTAACGTAAGGTAAAAAAAGCGAGAGAAAATATATTGATGACTGAAAACAATATGAAAAAAAACAAAGATTTTGTTAAAAACTCTTGGAGGTCTCTCAATCAAACTCATATAATAGGATATATATTTTAACTGAAATATATATACAGCCAGATTAAATACTCTGTTGACTGACCAACGATATTATGATTTATATGAATAAAAGTGTTTCTGAAAGATGCTGAAAAGATTGGCATATGTCTAATTCAGTCACTCAATCGTGTTTGCTTGACATTGACGTTTGTGAAATTTATTTTCGACTAGCAGCATGGTCCGGCGTTGCCCGTGTTTGATTCGAAAATCGTACGATTCATACAGCAATCGCTATCACTTGACTTAAAATATTTTTTCCCTTCTTTGCCTTTAAAGGAGTGCCCTTTGCCGTGCTGATGTTGCTACATGCCTTACTTCTTGCCCATCTCACACTGCAAATTTTTTCTAAGCCCTATACTAAACATTAAATCTGTTACGAAATAAGAACTAAGAAAATGAACACAAAAGGATCAGCTTTAAAAAAGGACTCGTAACTGGAAAAACCGAATGAAAAAAGAATGTTAACAACAAATACTTTTTCACACCCAACTCAGTTCTGCGGAATCAGAATCAACGTTGAGTTTAAGCAAGCGAATGAGCCAATTGGAGTAAAGTGCCATGCAGACTTAAATTTTTCCCACTTGTGACGAATGCAGCTATCGATTTTTTTTGCATGCTAGTTAACATTCGTATCAGTCAGCTGTTGGCTCTCACGTTGGCCAATAGAATCTTCCTGCCTATTCGTGGCAGCCATCTATTGCTCTGTCACTCTGACCAGTAAAAAATGGCCGCAAACTACATGAAAACTGCCGTAGAAACATGAAAAAATGGATTATTTCCACTATCGATGGGAGTTGGGAAATGCAAAGTCGGTCTTGGCCTTTCCGCTAATTTGGAGTATGTGCATGTAAATTTTGGTGCAAATCCGTCGAAAATTGCGGCCGTGCATTCGTTACACACACACACACACACACACACACACACACACACACATCCTGCCTTTTATAGATAGAGATAATTGCTATTTTAGTGAAGTGTATCAATTTTCATAGTTTTAATCTCGGTTTCAGTCCCTTTCCCACCGCCATAATGTAGCTTCCCTGTGCCTTTTCTATAAATAGTTTCATGGTAAATGTTCTGATGAACTTTCCTCTATGGTACTTAGACTTTATGAATTCAAGTGCTTTACTGGATTGGCGGCAAGATCTCATCATTTTACTGTTGAAATGTCTAGAAGCAACCGTAAATATTATGCTAACAGTTTCGTTACTCTCGCTTCTCGCTTGTGGAACTCTTTTCCGTTTTCTTCGTTTACAGTCAAATTTGATCGTCAAGAATTTAAATACAATGTCAATCGTTATCTTCTGTCTTCTTAATTTATGTTCTTTTATCGTTCTCGCTCCTTAATAATGTTTTTTCTTATATTCTTTCACACTCAATAACCCTGCCCCCCACCACGCGTGTTAATGGCTTTCTTGCCTTGCTTGAGGTGAACAGATCATAATAAAGAAAGGAAATGAAAAAAAAAATGGCTTTTTTAAAGTGAATTCAAGTCACTGAGTCGTAGAAAAGAAGAAATGTTGACTTAGCCAATTTTATCATTTTTTTTTACCGCCATTAATCTACTAAAACCAGATAACGTCATTTATAATTAATTCTCGTAAAAACAGGAAAAATAAATAACCTTATATTCTTAATATTATTTTGCTATCAGGTGTCCAAAACCTTACGGCTGTAATTAAAATAAGACATATCTCGGCTGATTTACAGGCAAATAAACTAACATACTCAAGAGCGAGAGCCGGATGTGAACGGCACAAGGCCCCGTCACAAAATGATCATTATCTTCGTTTACGCATGTTCCCGACGCACGAGTTCCGGTCGAAAAATAAACTATTTTAAAATGTTTCTACTTTTCGACCAATAAAAATGCTTCCCTCCTAATTATACTCGTGTCGTTTTTCGAGCCTGTTAAGCCATAAAAAATGCCATGAAAGGGGTCACACGGAGTACAACAGCAGTCAACAGGAGGCCAGGGAAGAGACCTGTCACGGTCAGCCAGCAGAGTCAACAAGAGGCCAGGGAAGAGACCTGTCACGGTCAGGCTGAGCGGTCAGCAGCAGCCAGCAGCAGTAGCGCCACGCCAACCAGCGAGAACTACTATGAGAGATCAACCCAGATTTTCAGCCGGCCTATGAACTATACCACAAGGTAGCTGTCCCAAAACCACACGTTCCTATTGAAATAAATCAAGTAAATCTATTTCTACTGTTGTCGTATTTCTTTCTTGCAACCATACGCTTGTCTATAACACGGCCTTCGATGTTCTCTTTTCGTTCAGTTTTGAAATGGATAAATCTTTCAAAAGACGACATTGCATAAGTATTTTGAGCAACGTGCAACCTGCGCATATCATTTACTGATAATTTTAGAAGGCTATACATGCAGTAATGAGTGAAATCAATAATTGTAAGACAAGGTGTTTGTGAGAGCTTGTCTACCGTATGAGTAAAAACTGCAGAAGTAGGTTGTAGGATATGCATAGGGTTTTGTGAATAAGTTAGTAATCAAACTGTTTAAAAGTGATTAAGGCTGTTTTTAAACTGGAAATTAATGTGCACATTGTAACATCGACCAAATATTGATGTTGGCGAAATGAGGATTTGTTTTAAATATCATTCATTTCAAATATGTCAGATGCTTGTATTAAAGTCCAATACAAACGATGAAACTATATTTCCGCGCCTGTACCAAATACAATAAAGATACATATTAAAGAAACTGGTATCCTACAAAATCAAAACAATAGGAACATTTTCTTGAACTAAGAAGTATCTCATTAAAATATATTTATTGACAATTATTTTACATGGAAAAGAAAATTATATCTGATGAGTGTACATTTTAGAGCAAGTTAAATTTACTGACTGATATTCGATCAGATCAATACTTTCCGTGTATAAGTAAAGATATCAATAAGAGACAGAATAATAATGATTTTGAAAGAAAGTGCATTTTCTGTCTGAATCTCTGGGATAAAAGTTATTATTTACGTTAGGACTCCTTCTTCAGGTGCTTATCAATACAGGTACTCTTCAGAGAATTTCGAACTGAACTTTTTACTTGATATACAGGTGTAGATTGTTCTTGTTCCATTGCTCATGTCTAAGGATATCTCTCCTAGTTCGTATTTCGTAATGTTCTCGAGTTTGAGTACACGCTGCTCGGCCCAAAGATTGGGCACGATTACTATATCACCAAATTCAGAAACCAACGCTTTAATCCAGTAGACCATTCAACCCTTGAAGAAGGCTGGAGTGCATAGCGATCGAAACATTATAATAATACCAACAATTAGTCATTAGTCCGAATGTAAATAATGTAAATAAAGTTCATTTTTAAAGTAAAGAAATGCAGTAAAAGTATTTTCGATATTTTATTTGACTACAAGGTATATGAAAAACTTTTTGATGAAGTCTAGTCATTATTCCATAGATTTTTCGAACGATTCTCTTCATCTTTGTTGTTTTTAATATACCATTTCGGTTTTGTGCTGCATTTCGTGGTATTAGAAATTGTTAAGTACTTTTCTCTTCTTTTTTTCATTTCACATTTCATATGATAAAAACAAGCATTAATTCCACTCATCTATGAGCACCCACATCCGGAATAGCGTCCACAATCATCGTCTTTTATTCAGGTAGCGCATTTTACGCCGCTGTTGTCACCACTCCACCGCCATCTCTCCTTGCCTGATGCTACCCTAACAGCCACTGCCATTCGAATCCACCTCTTAATATCATCAAATCAAAACATGGTTGCTCGTCCCTGGCGTCGCTTGCCCTCCACTGGCCCCAGCAGAATGTTATCGAAGCCGCCTCGCTGCATAATATGCCCAAAGTAACAGAGCTTCCTTAGTGCCATCTGCTCTTTCAATCCGCACCTTGTTTTGCACAGGCTTCACAGGCTTCCTACTGGATGGTGAGGGGATACCAACATTACCCAGGGCAGCCCTACGCGGGAGAACATGAGAACGCTGACAATAACAAGAAGTGCTACGAGAAAAATGGAAAACATCTGGAATAGTCGGAATATACACATCAGCCTAAAATTGAAATTACTACGAGCCAGTGCTTTCGCTTTCGCCATCTCAAGCTACGGATGCAAGTCATTGGCACTGACCAAGAGGGGGAAGACGCCGGATTGATTCTTTCGAGACGTGGGATATCGCAGAGTCCCAAGAGTACCGTGGACAGCGAGACGCAGTGTTCAGTGGGTGCTAGAAACCATCAGAACACGAATACCTGGGTCATAAAACGTTTTTTTTTATAATTTAAGCTCTATTTAAAAAACAAAACATCATTTATAATAAAATATATATTCAGGTATGAAAAATGGCTTCCAAGGACTGACATACTCTTTTCCTGTTATCTAAGGGTTGTTGCCAGACAGAAATGTAAATTAGCCCTCGCGACTGAGATATCCATTACAATTTCATTCAAATTATATATATATATATATATATATATATATATATATATATATATATATATATATATATATATATATATATATATATATATATATATATATATATATATATATATATATATATATATATATATATATATATATGTATGTAATTAATTAAAGAATATCAAACACTTAAAATTCCATAATAGTTTGTAATTGGTAATAATTTTTATTTTATGAAAGCTTCTTTTTTTTAGAGCCCTCATGAGACAAAAATTATTACCAATGGGATCTTAAGTGTTCGATATTCTTTAATTAATAATAATTTTGCTCTGTCTTTTGACATAGAGCCCTCCATGGATCTATATCCTCCTGGAAATTCCATATGGATTACTATATTGTATCATTGCTATATTTAGGCAGCAAATTCTCTTTTATGTCTGAATGAATAAATTACAGACATTATGTCTGCTAATTTTTAACAAAATCCGTTCATACTCACGAATAACCTTCCTTGTATTGATGTTAAAGGATGAGAGAAATGTGCAATAGCTGTTTAAATTTCTTTTATTTTCATTTCCCAAATACTTTCGATCCTTTTTCAAGATCATCTTCAGGGGTGGCAAGTGCTACAAGACTATGAGTTGTTCATTAGTATAAATATTTATGCAAAGATGTGTGTTGTTATTCATTACCGTAATTTTTTCATTATGCTTTTAAATACAAAACGGTTGACAATGTACCGAGCGTTTATGAGAACGTGAAAAAATTTTCCACTATGGGTTTTTTCCTCTATATTATAATGTCATGGTCACATTAAATATATATATATTGTATAAGTATACGCATTAAAATTAAATATATTGTATATGTATACACATTAAATATATATATTGTATAAGTGTATGCGTTTGTTTACGGATAGGCGTGTGTATATTAAACGGCACAAGCACATGTAAGTCAATCACGCACAAGACAGACATACACATATTATATGTTAAATATGTGCATGCAAACTCACACACAGACAGGCTGTGACGAACAGACAATGACTGACAGACAATGAGCTTTTCTTTGATAATACAGATTGTAAAACACGATATTATTTCATGACAGTTATCGTTTTTCTCTTTTGTTCCGAATCATATCTTCTTTTTTATGCGCAGAAACCTTTCAGTGACGTAGGCAATCATAGTTCTACACATCTTCCTATCTTTTATTGCAAGTAATTTTTTACCTGTTACCACCCCTTTTCATCCTTGTTCTGCCATTCATTTACCGAAACCCTTAAAACTTCTCTTGTATGTCTTGTGAGTTTTAAATTCTCTAGGCTCTCTTTCCTCGTTATATGTCCCAGACATTTCATGTTTCACGCTATGATTATAAGTATAAGTTTCTTTTGTTGTTCCTGTTTTACCCAAGACTTCCGAATAATAAGCCTGCCGATCCAAGTAACATTTATCAATTCATTTATTTATCTTTTTAATTTATAAAGCTTGTAAGATGGACGATGGGGAATCCATATTGACAAGTGTGGCGACTGCTGTCATAAATCAGCGTTTCAAGGACAATTGTTTGGTATTTCATCATTAATGTTTCTGAGTTGAAACCAAGCAGTTTTGACATCTTACTGACGTCAGCACATCCAGGAAGTCCTTACAATCACTTTAATGTTAACAAATGTTCAATTCAGATAGAGTGTCCATTTCCTTTATTTCATTTTCTCCCCCCTTCCAATGTATGTGGGTCATTAGGACCTGGGATTACGAAATGCACTTGATTTTAAACATTACCTTCCTTCTTAAATCTTTTCATTTAGGTTCAGTCAGTTAAGTTCCATACGTGATACACGCTTTCGATACGTGACTGACTAGACTGAAGGTTTTTCCCGCTGTACATTGTCATTTTTTTCTGCCATAGACTGGTTGCCAACCAAGGCTATATGACCTAGTCTGTCCTGCTATTCAACCCATAGATGGGGAAGAAGAGACGGATTCATAACTTTCCCGTGGGTATTTTTGCTTAAATGAATGTAACAAACACAACTCATTCCAAGCTGATATCCATGATAGCACAACGCACATTTAGGTGATGCGCGCCAATTTTGTTTCTCTTACTTTCCTGCAGCGCACTTTGGACGCGACTCCTTTGTCATCGTCTTTGCAGTTTCAAATTTCTCTTTTACTTTCTCTTCTTTTAATTCCTGCGTCCCAAATTGTTTGATATTCAACTTTAAACGTCTTAAAACAAATTGGTGGACCTGCTTCAACGAACAGTCAATCGATTTCATCTGACGATACATTACAGTGTCTTTGCTACAGGTGTTTGAGTAAAAAATATTATAACTTTACTATTTAATAGCAAAACAAGGACTCAGGGTAACGTGTCGCATGACAGGACAAGGAGGGAAATCTAGTGAAAATGGTGTAAGTGATTAGTATTTGATCATAAAAACTAATGCACTAACCAGGATTTGTCTTAGAATAGGCCTACACAATAAAAAAATGTGTAGGGTCACATTGCTCGCAGAATATTAACCGCGGGTATCAAGAGTAGATTGTAGACTAATTTACAGAGTGAAAAAATAAATAAATAAATGAAATAATTGTACTAATGCATCCCAATGAAAGCATCTCCTACTCAAAAACAAATATTCGCTGAATAAAGTCATGCTTCCTCAAAATTTAATTTTCATACGCGATCAATCACTGAATTTATTCTGCTGATTACAAAACATTTACTATTTTGAAAACTCCTCTGAACCACATTGAGTAGTCTTTCTCTCTCTCTCTCTCTATATATATATATATATATATGTATATATGTGTGTCTTATATATATATATATATATATATATATATATATATATATATATATGTGTGTGTGTGTGTGTTAGAGCATATATATATATCTTATATATATATATATATATATATATATATGTCTTAGAACATATATATATGTCTTAGAGCATATATATATATATATACATATATATGTCTTAGAGCATATATATATATATATATATATATATATATATATATATATATATATATATATATATATATATATATATATATATATATATATATATATATATATATATATATATATATATATAATAAATCAAAAAAACCTCGGTTATAATTTATTTCGTGAATATTGTCATATTCATCTCTTTAGTCAATATTGTTATATTCATCTCTTAAAAGAATTTTATATTCGAAAATCTGTTATTTTTCTTTCTTCCTTTCCCTCTTTCTTCTCTTTTCTCTTGTTTTCCTTCCCTCCTGTTAATTTAGTATATCAGTCTGGAAGAATTGTCTCCATCTATTAAGAACTTTCGGTTTGAAGAGATGAATATAACAATATTCATGAAATATATTATAACAGGAATGGATCCTTAAGGTTTTTTTCTTCATTTATTATTATTATTATTATTATTATTATTATTATTATTATTATGTTATAATGCTCTGTATTTACATTGAGCACTCTTTGAAGTAATATCCTCCTTGGAATTATCTCCCTACCAGTCACAAATTGGTAATATATATATATATATATATATATATATATATATATATATATATATATATATATATATATATATTCCAACTAGGACTTTATATATATATATTTATATCTAGTTTATAAAGAAGAATACAAATTCCATTCTGGCGTCGTTTCAATATTTAAAAAAAAAAACTGAAATCCTCGAATACTAACCCGTGAAAAAGAAAGAAGGAAAATGAACGTGACAGTTGTGTTTACTTTTGTTGGAACACTTTCCAAAGAAGCCGGGAGAACTTGAAATAGTTACTATTCAGACGATAAAGAACTAAGAACAAATTCTTTAATAGTAGTTATAGTGGCGTTAATAATAATAATAATAATAATCGTTTAATAATAATAATAATAAAAAAAAACTGAATTTTCTAGGCAAATATCATACATAATAATGTGGATCCAAAATGTTGAACGAACAATAGACATCTAAAGGATGTTCTATACTTTAAATGAATATAAAAAATGAAAAGACAATGTGCAAAAGAAGCAAAAATGAACATCGGTGACAGTTGTGTTTATGGGATTTTGTTGGAACACTTTCAAAAACCAGAAAGAAAAAAGCCTACTAATTGGAGAACAAAGGAATTTGAAAAACTATCAAAATACAAAGAGGAAGAGTTGCACTTGGAAACTATTCAGAACGATAGAAACCCCGTTACTAGAAAATTGTCTTGGATAGCACACAGAAGGAAACTTTGTCTATTAAACAACTTCATCGGAAAAAAAAAAAAAAAATTAACATGAAAGTAAAAACACAACGACCTGCCTTAGGTCTTTCCGCAACTTGGTAAGTGTGTCCATAGCAGAAATAATAATAATAATAATAATAATAATAATAAATACCTTGATGTTACACCAGATATGGCGCTCATGGCTTCTGGTATTAATTGATTGGATGTGTTAATATGTACCTGTTATGTTTTTGTCAATTAAGACGGGCTAAATATTCCGTTCCGTGCCATAGATTTACTTGTCAATCGACTGAGCTTAACCGGTTGGGCATATCCCTTAGGAAACGGAAATACCTGAGCAATTTGAGTAGATGTCCATTCAACCGATAAAGTACATGCTGGTGTCATGATTTAACCCGGAAAGTGAAGGCACATATGAATAGGGAAAGATGACTTTAAAAAACTAAGCTAAGTATTAAGAAACAGTTAAATCTCCTTAAAAACAAAAAAAAAAAAAAAGATTAGAATTGTTATGTCATATCTAATTTTCTATATAGCACAAGATACAGAACAATCTCTTCGAAGGTGAAGAAAAAAATTGCAGCGGATATATGTAGTTCTAGCGACGAATATTGAAAAGGCCATGGACATATCATGCGAGTAAAGGGGAAGTTTAAAGGAGACTAAGAGCAAGGAAAGTTTTGCTAACAATCAGAGAGTTGCGAAATTTCTGGGACACATAATGAGGAAATATAGCTTGGAAAATTTAACATTCACAGGACATATTGAAGGCAAAAGAAGTAGAAATTAACTAGTGTGAGTAAATAGATGGTGGCACAAAGACAGGGGGATATTAAAAAGTCAAAAAATAGGGAGTTGTAGAGAGGCATAATCGCCCATATCTTGAAAGTACATGACATATAAAAGAAAAGACCTTTCCTTAATCAAGCTGGCTATATTGTTTATTACTTTGCTCCTACTAACGACTAATGCTAACTTAGCAAATTAAGCGATTTGATTTAACCAATATCTATCTGGTGTCAAATTAAACTGATGGTTTCTTTTTTTTTCAATATATCTAAACTAAAATTATAAACTATAATTTTGGAAAGTGTAATCAGTAAAATATGCTGAAAAATTTTCCAAGCTTTCATCGGAAGTCAATAAAATATGAAGTTTAAGCAAAATGGTCAGAATATAAGGAAAAGAAAAGTAGGCGTTCGTTTAAACTAACCCAAAGAGGATATGGATTTAATACTACCTCCGCTGGCACACCAGTTAATGGAACCAAATTTCAACTTAAATATCGCACTGGTGGAAGATTATTAAAACAAAATTCCATTAAGATAAAGAACATTTCACTTGTTTTCAACAAAATGTCCACTATTTGGGTTTTTGCCTTCATTTTAATTGTTTAATTAAGCGTTTCGGCCGACATTAATTGGTTTTTCTAAGGTATAATGTTCCAGCGGGCAGGGCCGGTGTGTACTATCCTCAGACAACCGTATCGAGGAGGAGTAAGCATGATTTCGATCCCCAACCTCGGACAGAGCTTTGTGATCCTTGCTATCGTATCAACATTTACATTTTTTTTACCTACATTTATATACGTTACAAATTAAACTAAGCACTATTTAAGACTTATTAAAGGATGAAAAACTTTTGCGGATTCTGACGTCATTCTGAGGTCTTTTTGTCCAAATCCGTGAATTTGTTTTGCTCATGCTAAGTCTCGAAAAAAACACAATATAAAATTCACTATTTTGTTTTTATTCATAATGGTGAATATGTTAAAATTATTCAACTTTTTAACAAGAAGAGTCCCAAGTTGTTATTAAAAATTGCCGCAAAACATTGTTGATTTACTTAAGATGGAATGGTCTATTATAAGATGTCTCTAAGTTGTATTTCAATACATTGTATTTATTTTACATTTTTCTCGTTGAATTATTCACCTATATTGCATATAATCCATTATTGTACATAATTAGGTTGCAATAAAATTTGTATTTTATATGAATACTACCTTATTAAAGTTATGATGTAGTAGAGAGGGGGCTCCGTATCATAGACTCAGAAGGGTGTATAATAGATTGGGGGAGTGCAAGAGACCTTTGCACCAGACCTGACAGCAGGTAGTCGTTTCAGAAATCGTTTTGTCCGTTTTCTTGTTCTCTTTATTCTCACTTCCTCAACGAGAAGAACAACAGCAAAGACAAGAATAAAGTCAGAATAATTAATGCGCAACAACAATGGGGAGTTTATAATGTAGAAAAAGGTGCATATATGAATGTTTAAAAGATGCATCAGCAAATCGAGTGTGCATTTTAACACTGTATAGAATTTAATACTCATGAAAAATAGTAGTTAAAGCTATGGAATCCTCCATACTTGCCTGTCACCCCCTACGGGAAGATGCACTCTTCCCAAAATTAACCTTTAACCAATCATCACTTCACTTTTCCAAACTCAACTTCCCATTGGTTAAAACGACACAAAAATGTACCAAGTTGAGACAAATACTTTTCCCCCGCGCAGCTGTCTGGAGCCTATTTGAAAACCCAAAAATCTATAAAAAAAGAATCGCTCGACTTAATTCAAGTCAGTCAGACACTGAGTTTCGAGAGATGCCAGTAGAGTCCACGCGTGCCAAAACACTGACTCAATAACACTACCAGCCTCTCATCAACTCGACACAACGCGCACTACTATTGCCGCATGAAGAAACTTAACTTACAATTTACTAAAATAGTGACATTATCACTACGAAATAGTAATTGTACATTTAATCCCCTTTAGCATATCAGGGAAAGGTACACAACTCTTCGTAACTTGAATCAACATTTAAAATTGTCATATACATACACACTATTATTTGAACTCACACAATTGATATTTTACCTTGCAGAAATCAAACTGTTTTAATTTCACAAACAAATTTAAACCATCAACATTCACTCACCAAATCTCAGTATG